CTGACGGCTGCACATACATCCGGCTACTAGGACCGTAAGTCCCACAGCCAGAAGACTTGTCCTGTACAACGGTGTCATCAGGCGAGTCCCGTTAGTCACGATGCGCTCATACTGTTCGCAGACGAATAAACTTAGTGTCGTTCAACGGGTCAGATAAAACAGGAGCATCATCCCAAAACATCCTTTTGTACGCGCATCCTTTCCTAATGAGCAGAGCACGGCCGCCAGTTATGGGTGAATAATATGCCAACGTTCACGCAGGGGCTCCGATAGACATTGGTCCGTAGCATTAGGAATCAAATGACAGCTCGCACAGTATGATAGCTGGGTAGTAATCTGCACAGTCATAGAGAGTCAGTGCAATAGTCCGGTATTAAGCAATTTTTCTACAGCTTACTCCACGTTATGCATAGAAGGGCCATCGATTGCACGAGGCGTACGTATGTGGCACTAGTTCTAAGATCGCAACAGGACTTATGACCCATCTGGGCTAGCGCGCTCTAAAGGGATCGCTCCGACATTCTTCCAGACCTCCGGCATGGGGTCTAGAGATATATAGGACTCACAATGACGCTACTAAATTTCTGGATGACTATGTTCAATCAAGTTATGACGAGAAGATCATATTACTGATAGTTAATTATAACAAAGAAATAATTCTTGCTGTCTACTGCCTCAAAATGTAGCTGCATAGTGGACTTATCGTAGTTCTTGGCCCGAGTAAAAGACTTCAAGTCGTGACCCATGCTTACTGAGCGTAAACACGTAGCAGTTATCATGTGCAATGCGAGTTATTCAATTAGTCATTGACTAGAGACAATGCTAATCATGGAAGGATTCTAATAAGGAACTAAGCTAGACACATGATCCTAGAGTATTAATTAGGACATATAGAAAGCCCTTTAGCAATAATCACTGAACTCGACAACTATCCAGTCTCCCTCTATTTCATGCGCAAACACTGCATTCGATATCGGTATCAGTCATAATTGATGCCTTTAATCGAACAAATGCATAGATAAGCCTGAGTGACATCACAAATAACTGCTACTAGGTGCCTGCGCTGACAATGAAAACCATCAGCAAATCTGCTAGCTAGACGTAGACTTTTAAGCGGGCCAAAAGTACCCAATGTGCTTCTCGTCCCGTTCTACTATGCCTTCTGAGTTAGAACGAATAGGCATATCGCGGTTCGAAATATTCCTGTGCATTGGGAAAAGATAGTTCACCCGTGACACAGTGAGTCAATGACAGGTAAAATGCTCACGGCTACACACCACAGTATTTAACTTTCCCTGAGACTGGAATCCTAATAATATTACTTTACGCATTAATGGGTATTTCGTGCTTATGCTTAGTCTGTCAATCTATGTCACCCTTAAATGTTGACTGCCTCACCAGTGATTATTCTACCACACGTGGCCCCTGCCCTGATTTTAATAAAACCCTAACCATGGCTTACGTGTTACCCCCTGCGAGTTTTCTTCCAGTCAGCTTATATTCGGGTCTTTCAACACTTACTTGATAAGTGTTATAGCTTGATTTGCAAGTGGATATAGTTCGGACTCTGTCAGACCATGGCCTACGTTGGATCACTCACACATTCTTACGAAGTGAACACAACCTCATCACCAGTACGATGTGTGAAAGTGACCCACAAGTTCCACTTTCATAGTTTTGGATGCCTGATGCAGGCTTTAACCGAACAACACTATTGCACTAACCGAAGCAACTATGAAATAAAGGAAAAGCGCCGCAGTAAATGAAGAAAATCTAAATAATCAAAAGAACGCGATTAAAAAGCCTTAAAATCAGCCGGCACCGTCCATAGATATAACATACTAGCTATCAAGAAGAATACCACCCTTAATCACGATCGTCCTGTGTCTGTGATTTCCATGCTATGTGCACGGGATCAACACAAGTGACAACATGTTAAGCGAGGCGGTCAAGGAGCAGTAGCTTGAAGAACGTAAGAAGAAACAAGCCCTCAGGCTCGCGTCGTTTCAGCCGAGCGAGAGCTTGACAGACACTAGTGTTCTCGACATTGCACCATATGTGAGCTCCATTTCCTTCACTTGCTGTGCCATCAGTCATGTGGTACGCATCTGGCACCGCGTTGTACTGCATACCGCGAGCATTTCGTTTCCATTTTCCTGCGATCGTCTCACGTTGCCGAGTGTTTCACCCGTACGTTTTCCCATCCGGGTTAACGGCGAGCAACGAGCTCGATCTATATTCGTCCCTAAGGGTCATGCGACATGAGCTTAAGATCCGTAAGGTCTGAGGTGCCACTGGCACCGTGTACCTTGCAAAATAAGCAATTATGTGTTTATGCCACGCAGTGATCACGGGAGCAAACTGCCACACACAGCACCGTACTGCGAGTGAGCTCCATCTTAATACATCGAATTTTATCGCTCATATGCTTAGTTCTTGTACCCCTCTACCAGGCCTATTTCGGCCTTTGCACACATGCGCTCACCGTCATCGTATATTTACTCACTCTTATAGGCGTGACGTTCATGTAACTTCGTGCACCCTAATATTCGCTCAACTACATTATCGTGACGGTCTCCAAGTTTCCGGAAATAGCTCTAGCTTATTTCTCTAGGCAGATAAGCTTTTTACCTGTCTGGTGTCTGCATCGGGAGCGGTGAACCGCGTCGTGGATCAGCGCGCTAGCAGGACACTGCCACTATCTGTGTTGGTAGTCGCTGTACTTCCGCAATTATCGTGATATTGCAAGAGAGAGACAACAAGTATCCGACGAGCAGGAGGAGAACGATTGGATTAGCCAGAGTCGAGCAGTTCCTAATCCCCAACAGCGATAGCTGGGATCTTCGAGGATCGGGTTCTCCAACTCTTAGCGATGCTAGCTTAATTACTGCGACGAAGCTAGCGTGAAAGTGCTCGTTAACCTCAGACAGAAAGCGGGCAAAGGTCGGATGACAGATGAGGAATTGAGTTTGTCGGTTGTCGTGCTGGAAGTGGCGGGGAGCTGGAGTGTACGGGGGGTCGCTTCTCTTATAATGACCTTACCGGTCGCGTCCGTCACTAGAAATCAGCCAGCGCAGCTATACTTATCTTATGCATATGGACTTCTCAAAGGTCCATAGAGTAGAGATTGATCTAGCTTAAAACTTAGGCTCAATAATTCAATGCATGCGTTCAGCAATATCTTTCGTCTAGTGTTAACTGTTAGTTATAGGACATGTATTGCTAGTAATATGTAGAAGACTAAGTCTTACATCCTTATTTATTGAACTTCTCATGATATTTATAGACTAATCATTGACCTTTTCTATTCACAGACACCATCATAGGATGTCGTGTCTGGATTGCTACCTTGGATTAACGATGTGATTATTTGGAGCGCTACAAAACGATATAAAGTAAAGCTGGAATTACATGATAAGGTATTAGACTACAGGTGTCACCAACCTAAGACCAAAACTGTGTCTGGACCTAATGCTCACTATGTCGTGTTTAGTTAAGGAACCTTTGCCTGGAATGGCCCTGTTACCACCTAAGACTCCGGTCACGTGAACAGATGACACTGACAAGAGCTCAGCGGCCACAAAGACTTTCGAATTTCCTCTCGATCGAGAATCACCTACAAATGTAGGCCTTTTTGCCAGAATATGTTATGTTCTGTCTCTATCCGCAGTCTCTAGGTCACCTCCCTGAATGTGGATGACTTTTTATAGCACTATGTTGCTTCAGCACATTAATAATACCACATTTACGTGTTACACCTGCCATTTCTCCACGCGCTATCATTCGCTGATCCCACTTCTTTCCTTAGCCTCGTCCCAAGGGGAGGTTGGCAGGATGATTTATGTTTTTCCAACAAATCCGGAGCGTTTGGCTCTGTTGGCGGGTCTTGGCCCGCGGTATCCGTAAGACCCGTTTCTAGAACCACACACGCCCCGCGGCCACTCGTACCCCCGTCGTATCTGATTTAGTGATTCTGTGATGTCAAACCATGGCAAGCTTCGATCATAATGCTAGAATGTGCCACAAATGCACACAGCCATGTGAAAGCCACAAGTTCTTTCATGTTAATGGCCTTACAGGCATTAAGCGACAATGCCCTAACGACAACCAATAAAACAGCGGAGACAGAAATTCAAATAACAAAAAAGCGCATAAAAATTAAATACGCATCAGAGAACACAACTACAATCAATGCAAACCACTTAATCACATTGTTGGTCTGCTATATATCGATGAACAGACTCCGATGAAACATTGTAAGCGTCGAGGATTACAGCTAGTTGTGAAGACAAAAAGAAGCAAACAAGCACCTCACCGTGTCGCAAGGAGACCAGCCACTTCAGGCTGCCGTGCATATTTGGAGCGACTTTCTCCCTATCTCTTGTAATTAGACAAGGGCTAGATTTCGAGAGGTAGCGGTGTGTGATCATCGTGACTGGTTTTCACTGAAACTAGATTATAGTGTGCAGGATTTTTAGCCATCGCTTATCCGCCACGACAGATATATTCCCTACCTGCATGTTATGGGCATGCTCGAGTGAGAGCGGACGGTGTACCTGCAAAACACACTAAGCCGAGTAATTTTATTAGGATCACGCGAGCAAACGTGCTCATAATACATCAACACATGCAGGAGCCTCCTAAGTACATCGAATTTGCTTTTGTATTATTGACGTGTACTCACGGCGGATATCAACAACTCACCTTCGAGAAGATATCTAAAGCTGCCGATATTGTATTCACCCTAACTATCTCGCATAAATACTGACGTATCATACCTACGGTGGTCCTTGCTCTTCAGAGACTAGATGGTCTCGATCACAAGCTAGTTGGCTATGAGACTCCTAGGCACGTACCGGTTGCGTGCTGTCATGCTGCAATGTCGTGTATGTTGGCCAGCCGACACGTCCATACCACCGGTGAGACGGGATTGCGTGCATTTTCGCTTGCCAGGACGGAGCACAGTCCATATGCATTACCAAACAGGCCGATGGAGCTGCGGGATCTGGGATCGGGTCTCCAACTCGGCATGGGTTAAATGGCTCAGCTACAACGAAACAATACAGCTAGTGTGATAAAAACATTAGGCATGAAGAAGAATTTAACATGTTATCAGACAGACAGAATTTGACAAGAAACCTTCTACATCCATGCTACGTCCTAATGGAAGTAATACATGGAGCAAATTAAAGAGCTTACGTACACAACCAAGGTAACACAGGGTGTCCATGTTATGTTGTATTCTAAGGTAGTCTTATATATTCTAAGGTATGTCTTAGCAGTATGTATTTTCAAGTAAATATATATGTGTCATTAGGGTGGCTGGTTGAAAAATACACAGAAGAATTTCTGTGATACCTGGTCAAAATGGCATTCAACCTTTTCAAACAGAAGCCAAGCTTTGCTAGAGGTGCCTGTCAATCATTGTAGGCCGATAGAGTGATTGCCAATTGAAAGCAAATTCAATGGTGGATAACCTAATTTAAAATAAACTTGATACTGTGCTACTGTAAGCAACAGAGCCTGCAACGTGTACTGAACTGTATTATATACAACATTACCTCTGCTTCGACACTCCCCAGAATAATCTAGAGTCGCCTTGGCACAGTTCATCTCACATGGATTACCATACGTTTTACCACCGGTACCACACTGTGGGTTGTACTCTTGGGTGCAGATGCATAAGGATTCTGAAATTGATGAAAATCACATATCATGTCAAACTCTCGTTGTTTCACAGTTAATCTCTACTGGCTAATTACTAAATAATGCCAATTGTGAAATCTTGTCATCTCGAGACAAAGTGTCCATTGCCTGCTTGCTTTCGTACTACCACACTGTGGGCTGTACTCTCGTCGACAGAGGCAGAATGTCTATAGAATACATATGCCATTTGAGAAAAGATAACAGCGAAATCCAGAAAAAATTTTATTCCATGCCTCGACCCAATATCTAATTCAATATGACAAATAGAACTAAAGAAGTAACAGTATAGTGCTCGTTTAAGAGAAAGAAAATGCTAGTCTCCACCTTGGCAGGCTCCAGGATGGGCTACTTTCAGATTTGGCTTTCCTTGGTCTTTGTCACAGTTCAATGCACATTGGTTACTGTAGGTTTTTCCATCGTCGCCACACACAGGGGTGTAATCCGCCGTGCAGATACAAGGCCGGGGGCCTGGCCTGCCTCGAGGATCCTGCCTCGCTGAAATTAATAAATTGTAAAGAATTTTAAACGAATTAATAAAATTTGCACAAGGATAACAGAGTAAACTTTGTACACACGTGCATAGTACAATTTCCTAAACGATTTAATTTAAATGAAAATCTTGATTTACTTTTACAATTACTTTATATTGTGAATAGAATAATGAATATTCGATGTACAGACAGATCAACAACCATGATATAATAGATAATTAATAAATAAATAGCATCATGGATGGATAGATGGACGGACATACGGAGGGACAGATAGATGGATGGGCGGATGGATAGATAGATGAATGGATGTGTAGAAGGATGGATTGACAGATGGATAAATGGATGGATGGACGTAACAGACAGATGGACAGATGGACATGTGGATGGAATAGATGGGATAGATGAATGGATGGAATGGATGGTATGGGAAGACAGATATATTGTTTCTAAAATATGATTTGTAAATAATATATGCCGATGTTCTTAATGAAATTTAATTTGGACAAAATCTTACCTACATCCAGCTCTTTTCTACCTCTTAGCGGTCCTAATTAACGAAAAGAAGTTTGAATGTACTGCTTTTTCACACACGTTCTGTCAGCCTTGAGATTATATTTTACATAACCTTGCGCATGATATCATTTCAACACAGCTCTCCGATATGCCACATTGCTACAACAGTACTCATTGAAGTGACAACCAATTTTGTTACAGCCATTAGCCCAAACTAGCTGATTTAAGCTACTACAGAAAAAAAGTTGCGAGTATTTCTACAAACATCTACTCACCTGGTAGTATTAAATGCATTTCCTTAAAGCATACTTGGTCGCAATCAGATTTATCGTCGAATCTGTTTTCGTTGCCCTGGCAACCTCCATACAGGTACTGCTCGCATTTTTCCGTTTCCGAGTTGAAGAACCACTTGCGTATGGCGGCGCTGCAGGGTCCTGAATCTCTGGGCATCGCACACAGGCTAGGTCGCTTGTCACCCGGCTGCGGTGCACGAGGACAGCAGACGGACGGAGCGTCTGCTACCTCGGTGTTGCACTCATACGGAGGTGGGCAAGGATTGGAGGCCCAGCAGCTCACACTCTCTGTGGGGTCATTGACTTTCACAAGTGGGTTACCGTACCTACACGGATCAAAGGGTTTTTTACCTGGAAAAACAAAACAGGGCCACATTAAGACGTGCCTTAGGTGTCCGCTTCATGAAGCGGCTCGCACTTCCACTTATCGTCACTGGCAACCACTATATCCTCACTGGCTGGCTCATGTATCGTCATTAAGTCTAGTCTAGTCTTTACAAAAAGACAACAGCGAGTAGATGAAATTATTGTTTTCACTGTAACAATTAATTACGCGTGCTTACTGGACTTCCTGCTTGGGTCGACACACGCATGTTGGCGACATGAGGATACGTCACAGCATTGCTTAGGACTAACACAGTCAGATTGCAACTGACAGACTTCTGTTGTCAAGTGACTTGGACAGAACCACAGATTATCGAAACTTGGGCAAACTAGAGCATCCAAAGCTGGCTCCGGCACACTGTCATCTGAAAAGCAGAGACAAGCATTAAAATGTTTTATATCTAATATATTTTAATTTACAACACCAGTCAGATTAGAATAAAATTATGTGTTGCACTTGTGATAATACACACGGTTTTCGTATGCGAGTCTTTCTATTGATATGGAATGTACCATCACAAAATGTACGTCTTGTCTTTCTAAATACAAGGATACTGCATAAGGTAACATCCCAGTTGGCCTACTCCCATTTCGTCTACTCTCAGAATAGGCAATATTCCAATTTCGCCTACTCCCATTATGCTATTGTGTTTTCTATTTTTGTCTCTCAAGTTGTGTTCTCATTCTTTGTACCTATGTTTTCTTCTGGTTCCTGTAGTCTAATGGATTTAATATGCCAATTAAAACCATATTTTATTATTTATAAATGATTATTTAGTGAACAAATCGATCGTAGACGAAATGGGAATAGGGTAGAACATGAGCGTAGATGAATTGGGAGTAGGCGAAATGGGTATAGGCCAATTGGGAATTTTGCTGTAGGCGAAATGGGAATTTTGCCGTAGGCGAAGTGGTAGTAGGCCAACCGGGAATAAATCCTGCACAAGCACATATTTCTTTATGTTATTTGTGTACAGGTTAGTGCATATAATATGTTTTGTTGTTACTAAAAATTTCTGTTGACCTGTAATTTGTTTTTATCGACTAAAAATTTATGTTGACCAGTAATTTGCTCATAAAGGCTAAAATTGTCTGTAGTGCTCAAAAATGGGTTGTGGTGGCTGTTGTTGTTTGTTTGTTGTCCGCCCCACAGTTTGTGATGACTATACATGATTCATTCATAACTGAGAAGCCATTCACAAAGTGTTGACCAATGCATCAATCAATTTAACAATGATGATTGCAATGAAATTAGTGAAACACATTAAACCATACCAGTGCATATGGCTAGGTGCTGGCAGAAATGTCCTTCCTTGCAATTGACAGCTTTGCTTGAGCACGTTTGATCAATTTTACATGGGGATTGCTGCAAAGATTAAGGTTGAGGTAAAAGACAGGTTATTACAAATTCTAATGCATTGTCATTGGTTTTTTAATAATATTAATTATTATGAATAAAACTAGCTATATAATCTACCCAATGCATCACACATCCATTAAAAAGGGCACTGATATACCATAAGTGGACAAAATAAATGATAGATGTAAGAAACAAATTCACGTATAGTTACGTGTTATATATATATCATACGTTATAGTATACAATTAAATGTGCATTACAATATTTAAATGTGTAGACCAGAAAATCTAAATAGTAGGCTAGTGTGGTATGGATTGCAACAGATACGGCCAGATTTATTAGGAGATCATGTGCAATTGCTTCAGTCGATGAGAAATGGATATACAGTCCGACCTCCTTTATCCGGCCACGTTGGGACCGGCACCTATCCGGATATGGGATTTGGCCGGATATGAGAGTTATGCTCAAACACAGCATTTCTATGCAGTTCAGTAGGGTTTATGCATGTGATAATGTTACTCGTTGCTATGATTATTTGTAACAAACTGTCGTGTTTTACGGTTTATATGAAATGAAATAAAATAAAATAAAACAGAAATTTTACTGGAGGCATAGCGGACATGAGCGGACAACACACACACACACGCACGCGCACACACACGCGCGCACAAGTACAGTTGGTACATCGCGCAAGTTTTGAGCGAGATTTTGAAAATGAATGAAAAACAGAGAACATACACTGCGAGATCGTGGCCGGTTAATAGAGATTTCCGAATAACGGATGGCCAGATAAAGGAGGTCGGACTGTAATGTATTGTATCATACACTGATTTCTCTTTCCCAATTTCCATAATGGCATGCAAAGTCGCCATTACTATTACGAAATATGAACGTTGACCATAAGCGTCACTATAGAATTATGCAATTATGTACTTGAACTGTTTACTAACCAAGGGGCACCATAACTATTTTTAGAGACTACTTAATTGCTATAGCTATGATACGTACATTACAAGGATTTTTTTAGAGACTACTTGCTATAGCTATGATACGTACATTACAAGGGTCCGCAGCACAAGCACATTGAGGACAATCTGTATCGCCATCAACCGTGTAAAAATGACCATACTGACAGGAATCAAGCCCCTCACATGAAGCCGGTGGGCAGAAGAAGCTATATCCTGAAAGGTTAACAAATGGAAGACATTAGAAAATATCTTGGTGCAAAATGTAGTTACATATCAATTATCATGATACGAAAAGTATTCAGAGAAATCTTATTCTTGAAGTTCGCACACCACTCTCCCAGCATCCAGTGTTGTTAAGATTGCAAATCAGGGCCAAACTTATTTCTGTGTTAGGTTTGGAGGGGGAATACCTTCATCATTCATAGGTATAAATTGCTGAATTGGTGGCTACTGTCTTTAGAATAGAAAAGATTAGGTCATTAGAAACCAATTCTTACAAGAACACTATATACTATGGTTCCATGCATGCAGTCTGAGTGTACTCACCAATGCAATCTGGCTGCTGATCTACAGTGTTTTCCTGCGTCAAGCTGAGGCCATGTTCATCCAGGCAGTAGCAATTACCTACATTACACTTGAAACGCACATAGTTGCCTTCCTCATCGCAGATGGGGGAGCCGCTCTCCAGAGGCATCGGTCTGGGTGGATCCTGATAGGACGACATCGACAGTGCACTGTTTGCTCTCTCCACTTGACATTCTGCAATAGAAATGATCACTTACATGTGTGCGCTCGTGCGTGTGCATATTGTGTGTACATGCGTGTGTGTGTAGTAGGCATATGTTTTTACATGTAACGAAAATCAGCATGGAGTTTATTCATCGGTATTGCCAACACCCACTCAAGTTTATTTCGTTTCATTGTGCTGTTGTTTTCATGTTAACTAAATCAACAGTTTAGCGTCACCTTAGTGAAAGCAAATTACAAATGTACGTAATATCACACATTACGTATCAGTGCAACTGACAGCAAGGCCGTATCTTACACACCTGTCACATCATTAGGCTCCACACAAACGCTGCCGCAGGGCCCTGCATCACAGCACTTCTCTATACCCTTGCAATAACCATCACTATTGCAGGCTGGTGGGCATGAAGTTGTATACGCATTGCTTAGATCCGGACACGTTCCAACTTTGCTCGGATCATCGGCTGTGAAACAAAAATGGCGAATACTTATTCTAGTATATATCAATATACTACTTGGTGTTGACAAAATCAGGTTCAGTGCATGATTTAGTCAACCATTTCTCTGCAGACATTAATAAACTAAACTAGCAAGTAACTTAACAAGAAAATTTAACAACTGAAAGACAAATGAAACAAATAACGTGCAGGTAGAAAGGAAGGGGATAAACACATGGTAAAACCTGTTCGTACCTGGACAATGCAAGAAGCAGTCAACATATGAATCAAAGTGGTTGTCATTGCCACCGCATCCAGTGTAGAAGAAAGTCTCACATGCTCTGGTCTCAGCATTAAAATACCATCTCTGGTCGAAGCCATTGCAGTTACCTTCCTGTCTTGGCTGTTCGCACGCATCTGGTGCCCTACCTGCAAAATACACACACCGTCACAACACGACCTGACCTAATAGGTGAAGACACAATGTTTAGGTATATGTGGTTATCGAAGCATTCCAGTGACAAGACACTAATTAAATGGCGTACTATATACGCATGTAGGTGTGTTGTACTCACTGTGGCACTCCTTCCTGCAGTCCTCGTACTGCATGAAGTTGTTGTCGTTGCCGCCGCAGCCAGAGTATATGAATCGCTCACACTGATTGGAGGTGCTGTTGTAGAACCAGCGACGGAAGGCGGCCAGACACGAGATCAGCTGAGTCGGGTCACTCGGCTGGTAGGGCTGCCTGCAAACCTCGCTCTGCAGAGCAACTGGAAACAAGAGCTCAACGTTGAACGGTGGGTGACAGCAAACATCGCAGCAAAAGTAACTACAATGTAGATGAAGATAAAATGTTATTAAAGTGATTACGTCACCGTAAATAGTAAAAGTAAAAAAGAAATATTTCCACTTTTTCACAAAATGTAAGTAATTCTGTTAACTTTTTATGGTTAAATTGCTGTATTATACTTCCTATTTTACTATATTGTTCGATGTAAACATACACTTGTGACTTATACATAGCCCATAGCAAGCAATTAATATGTCAGGATAATAATATCAAATCGTCCAGGTTTTTTTGGATTTGTAACTAGTTGAGAAACAATATTACCAGGTAAGAATTTGAGGATACATTAGTATCCTCAAAGACATCCCATTAGTACTTACTTTTAATGTAAAAAAATGGCAATTTTTTTTTACAAATATACACCACAGAAAATTCGTTACGTAGTCAATTTAAATTATGCATGGTGTTAGTGTGATTTTTTTTTATAAGTGCATGGCATGCATCTGATACTAGCTGTCTAAATGTGATAAGCAGTAGCACTAATAGTGCTAACACATCTAAGTAAAATCCTAATATATGTGGGTCCACCCTTTTGAGTTGTTTTTGGCCTCTGTATTTTTTTATCTCACCTTTGCATTCACAGAGAATGCAGCCTCTTTCATCCTGTTTGTACCCATTTGCACACGAAATCTGGCAGCTGACGAACGACGGGCAGATGTCAAGAGGCTTCCCCCTTTCTCTTGTATCAAGAGAACCGGAAGATCTACCTAATTTTTATTGTTACAAGACCTTAGCATTATCAAGAGTTAATAATATGTATTCGATATATAATATATATAACACAATAGGTATTATTAGCTCTTGATATTATAAAATAGAACTGTACTGGTTTAGCACAGTATCAATTTTTTGCATTATCCAATAATAAGGCTGATAGGGTCTATGTCCCCCAGGGTACTGCCGGAACGTACCCTGGGTACGGTCCAGTATACCGGAACGTACCCTGGTAACTATCTAGCTGATATGGTTAGGGTTAGGGTTAGTGTTAGGGTTAGAGTTAGGGTTATAGGGTTAGGGTTAGGGTTAGTGTTAGGGTTAGGATTAGGGAGTAGGCGTAGGCAACTCCCTAGACTCAGTAGTGGAGTAGGCGAGGTACGGTCCGGCATATGAGATAGTAGTATTTAGTACCAGGGTACATTCCGGTATACCGGACCGTACCCAGGGTATGTTCCGGTATACCGGACCGTACCCAGGGTATGTTCCGGCAGTACCCTGGGGGACATATCAGCAATAATAAGTGATATGCGATTCAGACATATACCTTCTATTTATTCCAATATCAACATGTCAATTTACATAGATGTGATCATGCAGGAGTAGGACAGTAAGAGACAATAGGTAATTGTAAGGGATAATAACTAATAGCGATTCATAATATAATCCTACTCTTGCTTTAATTACCATAATATAAATGATCTATTGTCTCCATTATACCCCCATACTCTTACTCGTGACGTTACGTGACGTATATCAAAGACACACTTACTTCCACATTCACCGGGGTAATCTAAACGCTTCCTGGCACAGTTCATCTCACATGGGTTGCCATATGTTACACCATCTGTACCACACTGTGGGTTGTACTCCTGACTGCAGATGCAGATACTCTCTGGAATACGCTCTGGAATATGAAGACCATTTGAGAAAGAACACCGGCTAGAGCAAGTCTTCTAGAATATGCAATGAGCTCAGTTTTACTAAAGGTAGCAATTCGTCCATATTTACCCAGTTTTTTTGTTGTATTTAACAGCATAATTAATTATTCCTCTGTAATATCTCAGCTTAATTTTTTCACCTGTGAGATTCCTAGTTATTTTACGTTATAGTTATGCCTTTTTACAAATCTCATTCTTGAATCACTCATATTTCTGTCCACTCCCTTTTTTGCATAGCATTCGGTAGCATTCTCATTTCCATTCATAAATTAAACAATTGCTAAATGCCGGACACTGCTGTTATTACACTGCACTGAGGCATACAATCTTGAAATTCCAGAACCTCAAATTACCTCTACACTTGAAATTACCTCACATAAGAGCATTGATTGTGTGACACCTGTTTGTAAGGCATTACCTAGTCGTAGTATTGGAACACCAACCCGAGCTAGCTCGCAGGATGGGAGAGGTGGGCACGGATGTCGGACACACTGCACTTGGCGCATTTCACACACCTTACCATCATCACACTCAACATCCTCACAGGTTGGATCTGAAAAGAGGTGACCAGAATGTATCTGCAGTCTTAATTCAAATATACAGTCACATATTAGGTGCAAATTATATCAGAATTAAGCGGACAATCGTTGAAAATATTGTTAACAGACATGGCATTTTTGAAACAAGTTTATTGCGACGGTATATTAGCATAGCATGCTTCTCCCAAGGCCTCTAATGTATGCCGGGTCCAACATGCCTTCAAAGCTAAATCTGCTTTGTGACATCCCATAAATCCTTTGACATGCCTTAATTGTCTAAAAAAATATATGCCCTAATTTTTAGCTGTGGTTTCTTTTAAATACCTCAAGGGGTTCTTGACCAGTGGTCCATGGACCCCTTCAGCGTCCGTGGATGGGCTTAAATTGACTACGTCACGAATTTTCTATGATAAAATTTGTAAAATTTTTCCATTTTTTTACATTAAAAGTAAGAACTAACAGGAATACCTAAACGTATTGTCAAATTCTTACCTGATAAGATTATTTCTCAACTAGTTAAAAATCAAAAAAACCTGGACGATTTGATATTAGTGTTCCTGACATTAATTGCTTGCTATGGGCTATGTATGCGTCATGAGTAATCAAACAATATAGTAAAATAAGAAGCAATGCAGCAATTTAACCATAAAAAGTGAACAGAATGACTTATATTTTGTGAAAAAGTGGAAATATATATATATTTTTTACTATTTACGGTGACGTAATCACTTTAAGGGGTGCCGTGAACTTCAATGTTTTTCCAATTTGTGTTTATGTGCTTATGCAAATTTTTCTTGGGCGGGGTCCGTAGCTTTCACCAGATTCTAAAAGTGGTCCATGACTCAAAAAATGTTAAGAACCACTGCGTTTACTCAGTCATACTGTCATGTTAGCAGCTTATTTATACGTCTCCTAACTGATCGAGTTTACCTGGGTATCGAGGGACCTTATATCTCACGTAATTGACTTCAATTAGTAGGCCTACAACCACCCTCAGGAACCTCCGCCATCTGTCTATAAATGACGTGCCGATTCCTCGGCAGAACCCTGTACATCATACTGAACTGCACAGCAAAAGAATTACGGTACCGCTACCATTACTAAACCCAAAAATCACAGAACAACCGTGCTGTGAGCACACCTCACAGAAGAGAAGCGCCCAATTTTCCGCTAGGCCTCAACCGCATTCATCTACAAGGTTAGCCTGCAGGTGCTAATAAACACATGGCGAAGGAATTTGCGGTGGCTCACAAAGAGCAGAGCAGCAGAGGGAGATTACGACGTGCCACACTTAGAGGCTTACGAGTGCCACACAGCAAGCTTGAGGTGCGAGGGCAAGACTCCAATCCACATCCACAGTCCTCCAGTGGACGATCGCTGTCTGACCGTGGACATCTGACGCCCTAGTAATGTAATCATTATAAAACAAAACTGTATTTAACCAATGGATAAATGTAGATCGAATATGCCAAAATAAAATAGACTTCTCTCACTCTGACTACGATAGTAATCACCACCAGATTGCCCACTTAACTCACCCTTGTGGGATAGTTTCTTCTTTCACAGCAACATGGCCTGCATAATCTACTATTCACAGAAAATATACGACAACGCAGATTTTATGGACCGATGTGCAGGATTAAGCTGGGAAGGATCTGTTAACCCTGCACATTGCATGGCTTGGAGTCTGCAACTGCAGGTTGGGACCAGGCCGTCCTCATCAGTTCTGTAGCCATTGATCACAGGCTCGTCATCACCCAGTCTAGCATGGCACCACTCAAACACTACAACATAAATGTAACATGCTATTATACACTGGCCCGAGCAATTCATACTATTGGCAAACCATATTATCCAGATACATCTTAACGTTGTACGACCGCTTTGCTCATGGTCTCGTCACGCTCCCTTTCTGACTTTAGCAGGGATGTTAAGTGCACAGCTAATTATGGGTACGTGACTTTACATATTTCCACATCAATAATCCTGTTGGCCATATCATAATTTAAGTACAGTGAGCAAATTAAAGTGTAAATAAAAACCTAAAAAATTGATGAGTAAGGCTTAATAAAATTTATAGAGAACAATTATAGGTACAACTTAAACCAAATCGCATCAATTAAAGACAATTCAGCCGTCTAATATGTGTAAAAAAATAATTCGGAAGCTGTCTTAGTGGGATGCCATGACTATATAGTTGAACCTTTCACTAATAGAATAGCATAGTTTTAACAACATTTTAATGTATCTCAATTAATTTATATAAGGGTATATTTTAGAGTGCAAATAGAATTTATTGTTCGCCGGGGGGCTTCGGGGATACTCATCACTTGGTACCAAACTAACTTGACCCTAAATACATTTACATTTTATACCTTCTAGACAGTGTGGTTGTCGCGCCGCCCAGCGGGGTCTCTTAGTCAGGCAACTCTGCTCCATCAGGTGCAACACACCATGAAATAGCCTGATAGAGCATAGGAACTGGATCTCCCGCCAAACTCTCCTTCTGGTGTGCACTGGGGCCGATAATTGCCAATTATGCCACCTAGCATGTCTGCGTTTGCCTCATGGATTTGGCATGCTAAAGAGATATATGATATGTACATGTAAGTTAACAAACAGTTTCTGCGAAACAACATCCAAAAATTCACGATTCGAGCTAATGTAAATGTACTCTTCTACAGCCTTTTTTTTGTTCCTCAATTTAAATTTCTTCATGCTATAGATACAAATTATATACGAATTGTGTTTTTCAGAGTATTATCATGAATGATATATAGTCAACCCGGTGCTAGTGGACAGATGTTCATATATGGTGCACCTTTTGTGTTTCCTCTGAGAGTACCTTACACAGTGAATCCATCTCTAGAGAAAGGAAACCTGTCTATAAAGAACACTGTGGAGGTTTCCTTTGAGTGCATAGATTTGTATACCTTTCAGTGGTGGTGCGGCATCAGCACGACCTGGCATGCAGGTTGGAACAGGTGGGCACGATGATAAGAAGCAATCCACTTCTTGCAATACGCAGATTTCATCGTCGTCACATTCAATATCGTCACAAGACAGCTCTAAAAATGTGTGAACAGCACGACTATGTGAATCACTTCAAATCACCATCACATAGCATATTTTACTTGGAGTCTTAAGCTGGGTTTACACTAACGACTTTATGCTGTCAAATTGGCGAATTGGACCAAATTCTCAATTCGGCAACAGAGTTGGCAAAAATAAAACATGTTCTAATTTCCCAACTAGTAAGTTGCTAGTGTTTCTCGCACAACTTTTACGTTTACACTGCCGATCGTCGGTTGTATGTTTCGGTCGTTGCTTTAAATTGCAAAATTAGTCCAATTTGTCAATTTAAATTATTTTACAGCATAAAGTCGGTAGCGTAAACCCAGCTTTAGAGTCGTGCCTTTCATGACTGTATTCACAAGGTTAATTGAGAATTACATGTACACCTATATTAGACATTTCATAGTTCCATACTACCGTGTATGCAATAGCAATGCCAATTACACATTCAGAGGGCAAGGTTACTTGCATGAAGTACGTGTAAGGCAATGGAAAATATCATGGACACAAAATTTTATATCTTACCTGGGCACTTAGCAAGCTTGGGGCAAGACTCCAACCCACATTCAACCTCAGTAAGTTGGCATGAGTTTCCATCTCCACAATTGACATCCTGTTATGGTAATAAACGTCATAACTTTATATCTCGCGCACAAAGCTATAAGCTATTTAGTAATCAACATGTTTATGTGTGTAAGAAGAATAGTGGTTACTTGTTATGGACCGGCCGGTGTTTAACACTCACATCGCATGGGCTTGAGTTGCAACTGCAGGTGGGACATCCGTCATCATCGGTTCTGTAGCCATGCTCACAGTCGTCATCACAGTCTAGCAGGTCACACTCAATCACTACAACATAAATGTAAATTGGTCACACTATCACATGGTGCGGTGATTCCTAAAACTAGGGTGTCCATCTCTGGGAATTAAGGTGTGTGGAATTCCACCAGAATATCTATAGAATTAATTCAAAGTCATTAATGAGAATGTGTGCATCTGAAAAGTAAAATATAACTAAACGTTTGCATCTCTATATATTCAAATCTCTGAATTACTGTTTCAAGTTTATTTAAAAATGTAAAAAAAGGCGCAAGGGCCAGATGAGCATAAACAACTGACACCATGACAAGAATTTAGGAACATATGCACTAACATAGGTTTGAACTGAATGACGTCTGGTGATCAATGCACATGCGTAAGTTACATTTCATTACTTTCACCTACACATAATGTTAGCTACATATTATTACCTTGTAGACAGTTTGGTCTCCCGCGACCAGGGGGTCTCTTAGTTCCAGGCAACTCTGTTCCATCAGGTGCAACACACCATGAATAGCCTGAAGAGCCATGGAACTGGATCTCCTCAAACTCTCCTTCTGGTGTGCACTGAGGCCGATAATTGCCAATTCTACCACCTAGCGCGTCTGCGTTTGCCTGATGGATTTGGCATGCTGCAAAGAAATGTTATTAGGTGTTATATAAAAAACACATAATTACCAACAGTGTTCCATATAGGAATTTAATCAGTAACATGCACTTGACTATTTTTGAAAATGATTTTGAACTTTTTTTCTCTCTAAACATTGTCAGCAATATTCCAAACTGGTGATGTAATGTTATGAATTTTACAACACTTACATGCAGACATGCATATGCGCCCATATTTATGAATTGCTACATAAATAAATATAGTTAACTCTCGAATATTATATTTGGTCTAAAATTAGCTCTAGAACGTACTATAGCCCTGCGCTCCGCCGCAGGGCTATAGTACATTCTATGGCTATGCCTGCGGCAGAGCGGAGGGCTATAGTTATAGAGCTAGTCTAAAATGTGCTAACACACCAACCAGTAATGCACGAAGGGTCGTTGTCGTAACAGGTACTACAGATATGTACCCGAGGTAGTTTTAGGTTATTTAGTATTATGTTTATATTTTTATATGAGGTATGTTTAGGGTTAGGGTTAGGGTTAGAGTTAGGGTTAGGGTAAAGCGGTCCATGACTCAAAAAATGTTAAGAACCACTGCGCTTACTCAGTCATACTGTCATGTTAGCAGCTTATTTATACGTCTCCTAACTGATCGAGTTTACCTGGGTATTGAGGGCCCTTATATCTCACGTAATTGACTTCAATTAGTACAACCACCCTCAGGAACCTCCGCCATCTGTCTATAAATGACGTGCCGATTCCTCGGCAGAACCCTGTACATCAGTACTGAACTGCACAGCAAAGCCATTACTCTACCCATTATTAAACCAAATCACAGAACAACCGGTTGTGACACACCCTCACAGAAAGAAAGCAATTTTCCGCTAGGCTCAACCGCATTCATCCTACAAGGTAGCCTGCCAGGTGTAATAAACACATGGCAAGTAATTTGGGTGGTCACAAAGAGAGAAGAGAGAGTTACGAGTGCACAAGTTAGAGCTTACGAGTGCACACAGCAAGCTTGGGGCAAGACTCCAATCCACATTCCACATCCCTCAGTTGGCACGATCCGCTGTCTGGTGGACATCTGACACCCTAGTAATGTAATATTATAAAACAAAACTGTATTACCAATGTATAAATGTAGATCGATTATGCAAATAAAATAGTACTTACTGAATATTGAATACATAGTAATCAACCACGGATTGATTAATCACCCTTTGAGGATAGTTTCTTTTTCACAGCCAAATGCCTGCTAACTACTATTCACAGAAAATATACGACAAGCAGATTTTATGACCGATGGCAGGGAATAAGTGGGAAGGATCTGTTAACACTCACATCGCATGGGCTTGAGTTGCAACTGCAGGTGGGACATCCGTCATCATCAGTACTGTAGCCATGCTCACAGTCGTCATCACATTCTAGCAGGTCACACTCAAACACTACAACATAAATGTAACATGCTAATTATACACTGCGAGAACATATATTGCAAACCATATTATCCATACATTTAACGTTGGACGACCCTGCTCATGGTCTGGTCACTCTTTTGACTTTAGGCAGGGATGTTAAGGTGCACAGTAATTATGTGTACGTATTTACATATTTCACAGTTCATAATCCTTTGGCCATATCATAATTTATACAGTGAGCGAATTAAAGTGTTAAAAAAAACCTAAAAATTGATGATGTAAGGTTAATAAATTATAGAGAAAATTATAGGTTACAATTAAACCAAGATGATAATAAACAATTCAGGTCTAATATGTGTAAAAAATAATTCGGAAGTGTCTATGGAATGCCATACTATATATTGAACCTTTCACTAATAAATAGCATGTTTAACAACATTTTAATTATCTCAATATTTATATAAGTGTATATTTAGAGTGCAAATAGGAATTTATTTTCGCTACTCATTCACTTGTACCAAATAACTGCCTAAATACATTTACATTTTATTACCTTCTAGACAGTTTGGTGTCCCGCGACCAGGGGGTCTCTTAGTTCCAGGCAACTCTGTTCCATCAGGTGCAACACACCATGAATAGCCTGAAGAGCCATGGAACTGGATCTCCGCAAACTCTCCTTCTGGTGTGCACTGGGGCCGATAATTGCCAATTATGCCACCTAGCATGTCTGCGTTTGCCTCATGGATTTGGCATGCTAAAGAGATATATGACATGTACATGTAAGTTAAGGAACAGTTTCTGTGAAACAACATCCAAAAATTCACGATTCGAGCTAATGTAAATGTACTCTTCTACAGCCTTTTCTTTCGTTCCTGAATTTAAATTTCTTCATGCTATAGATACAAATTATATACGAATTGTGTTTTTCAGAGTATTATCATGAATGATATATAGTCAACCCGGTGCTAGTGGACAGATGTTCATATATGGTGCACCTTTTGTGTTCTCTCTGAGAGTACCTTACACAGTGAATCCATCTCTAGAGAAAGGAAACCTGTCTATAAAGAACACTGTGGAGGTTTCCTTTGAGTGCATAGATTTGTATACCTTTCAGTGGTGGTGCGGCATCAGCACGACCTGGCATGCAGGTTGGAACAGGTGGGCACGATGATAAGAAGCAATCCACTTCTTGCAATACGCAGATTTCATCGTCGTCACATTCAATATCGTCACAAGACAGCTCTAAAAATGTGTGAACAGCACGACTATGTGAATAACTTCAAATCACCATCACATAGCATATTTTACTTGGAGTCTTAAGCTGGGTTT